GCAGTCGATTTTCCTTTAAAGTAGATCCAGATTTAAGAATGACAAGCATGTAGCTATATCTATAAATATTGATATTCAAGCTCTTATCTTCGACTACATAGCTGGTCACTAGATATTAATATTAATTTCATTACATGATGAAATCCCTAACTAAAACAAAAAAATTAAAACAAGACAAAAGTTCGTACATTTTTATGGGCATGGTGACTGGATGCCGCTGCGGCAGTGAATCTGCTTTGTCAACCACTAAACATTAACGCTTACTCTGGATTTACTTAAGTGACAGTTGCATTTTGTGGTGTGTTAAATGAACGTTAAAAAGGATAACGTGAGATGTGCGAAGGAAAAACTTCTGCCCCTATTCGGTGGAGCATGCGATGCAAGACGACGAGGCACGTACACAGAATGAATGTCGTCACTGTCTCCCAGCCATCCATCCATTCATCCATCCACACCACTTGTTGGCAACTTCAAGTCAAAGGTCAATGGCAGAAAATTAGAAGTAAACGCTGCGGGGTCATCATTAAATATGACTAAAGCAACTTCGGGCAACTGTTAAAATCCTATAACAGCTTCTCGTTTATTACCCAAAGGTTCACTTGATTAGAATATGACAAATAGAATACATTCAGAAGTATGCATGTGTGTGAGTGCGTGTCTAGATGTGTTCGAGTGTGGTTTGCCTGTTGCGAGTTCAGATTTTGTGCTACAAAACATTCCAAGTTTGCCATCCTCGTCATTTTATGTCATTTTTATGACATTTGATAAGACAAATTCCAACATTTGCCCAAATATTTGTTCAACGATGTCTTTTATTGCATTCGCTTAGACGAATGTCCTCCCGATAATTTGGACGTAGGGTTATGTATTATTGCCACAATCTAAAATAGATTTAAAGGATGAAATAAGAAATTTAATTTATTGCAATGACCCCAAGAGAGAGTTTTTCGATGAGCTTTGAAACTGACGAACGGATAAAATGATCTTTCGATTTCCTTGTTATAAAAAAACTCAGGAAGAATAACAGCATGTGCTTATTAATAAAATATATTATAGGAATCCTGTCACAGTCTCACTATCATACTTCAATAGAATGAAGATTCATTGGCATTCCTTCAGCCATATTGCTGCAGAGGGTAAATATCATTTGATACGACCAAAATGTGGATTCGTTTCAGGACATTTGAAGTGTCCGTCCGCCTGTATGTCTGGCTGGTGTGCTCTATTTGATCCGATTTGATCCAATCTTGGTATATCGTAATATTATTGTCAAAGTTATATCGATTTCGGAGATGAGCAAAGTAGGTCCACTACTACCTCTCCCAAAAATACACAATTTTCAGAGAAAATAATTTTTTGATTTGTCGTGATTTCCGTAAAAGAAGAAAGGTTCATCCAATTTTGTTCAAAGATTACAAATCCTAATAGTTGTATAAGTGCTATATTAGGTGCGGAAATGAACAATACGACCCACTCCATCCCACATAAGGGGTCAAAATATTGAATAATTCCAACTTTTATAAAATTCGAAATAAGCATCCGATTTTCTTCAAATTTCACACATCCAAATTTTTCTATCAACACAAGATCTGGTGATACATTCTGGTATGTCCCCACAAAGAGTCAAAATTTTGAGTATCCATGAAGCTCATACAATTTGAAATAAGCATCCGATACATTCTAAAGTTCACACATTCTAATATGTTTTAAAGATGGGATATATCGCTCCACTCCTTCTGGTACCTCTCCCTCAATGGATCAAAATTTTAAATAACCAAAGCGCTCATAAATACTAATTAAGTATCCGATTAACTTCAAATTTCACACATCCCATCTATTAACCAAATATCTGGGGTGAAAATGATAGATATTGGTGCACCTCTTCTAATAGCTCCTCCACATAGGGTCACAATTGTCAATACTTAGATTTCTCATAGTTTTCTTAAAATGTCAGCGATTCCATTAAAACTTGGTAACCTGAAATCTGATCTGATGAATTCATGGCTCACTCCTTCTATTACCTCCCCCACAAAAATTATAATTTGATTAACAATTATTAGCATTAAAATTGGAAATAAAGGCTAGATTTTCTTTAAATTTTGTTCATCCCAATATTTTCTTTCTTGGTATTAGATGAAGTGGAATATTTCGGTCTACTATATCTGGTACCTCACACACATTTCTACATTTTCCAAAAATTATTACATATCTCATGTAAAAGTGAATGGAGTAGTTGGTATAATCCAAATCTGGAAAATTTATATCAGACTTAGGTCAGATACGAAATGGAAAACATTGGTCCCACTCCTTTGGAGCCTTCCCCATAGAGAGTCAACAGCTTGGGTAATCATAACACAAGTCAAAATACATTTAAATAAATGAATATTGGCCGAGAGTACACATTTGTCATCAAAGCCAACAGATAGGATTCCAGCTCTATCCCTTCGCCCAATACCAAATTGAGTACTTTTGGAATTATTATAGTACACATATCCAAAACCACCTCAATATTTTAACCATAGACACCAATATTGACATCCACATCAAATTTCAGGATTTCGTCTATATTACTTCATCCAATACCAAATTTAGTACTGTGTGGTACTTTTCGTTTAATTATAGCACATATTTCAATTTCAAATACCAAGAGAGACCTCAATCACAAATTTGAGGATACCTTCGTTCAATACAAATATAGTACCATTCAGTACTTTTCGTACAATTATAGAACACATTTCCGGAAACACCACCATGTGTCCACGTTACACAGCAGCGACCTTAATACCAAATTTCAGATTCAATCACTATCTGTTCACCCAATACCTAATAGTACCAAATATCGCACTATTTAGTACATTTCATGCACTTGTAGTTCCCATTTCTGAAACCACCTCTTTATTGCAAACCTACCAACAACAAGGACCCCAATTCAAAATTCCAGCTTCTTCTGTTCACATTAAACCAAACCATTGCAAGTTCAGTACAATTTAGTACAGTTCGCACACTCAGAATACATTTCCAAAATAACCTTCATATATCAAACTTACATTCCAACCTTGAATCTCATACCAAATTTCAAGTGTTTAGCTCGATCAATTCACATAATACCAAATGGCACTATTTTAAGAGTTTAGTACCGTTTTTGAACTTTTTGTAGTCTTAATGTTCGAATTTCCAAAAACAGTACACTTATTCCAAATTTCAGAATTTTAGCTTATTCCGCTTGTCCAATACAAAGTATTCAACTTGAAGTAAATTTTAGTGCTTTTCGTACTCTTTTAGTAAGAATTTCCAAAAAAAACAGTCTTATCACACGCCCCCGCTCCAAGACTGGCACTCGTGCAAAATTTTAAGATTGTAGCTTCAGATGCTTCGGCTGGGCTTTGATATGACTCTAACGTTATGTGTGCACTAGCCTTAAGCAATTTTGAGGTTTCATAATTTTCCGAATTTTTAATTTAATTCGAGCCAAAAAGTATTCTATACCAAAAGTAGTCGGAGCGAAAGTCAAAAATTAAAATTTCGGTCCAACGATTTTCATTTTAATCTCCTCAGCAACATGCCGCCGTTACTCATTACTTGGTACGATAAAAGTAAGTTAATTTTCCTGCTAAATTGTTTTGAAATTTCCCGTTATTTTTAGCTTCCTAGTAATGCATGGAGTATGTCGTTGTCATCATTTTTTGGATGAAGGTAATGCATTGTCGTTCCTTGTAATTATGAAAGTGGCACATACGGTTACCATATTTCTGCTGCGAAGTCAGACATTGCCGACCATGTGATACTCTGTATAGAAACTATAATAAATACACCTTCACTACTCATTTTTGACCGTGAGAAATCGAATTAAAAACCACAAAACAAACAAAGACAATAAATTCTTAACCGGAATCTAGTTTATTTCAGGTGTTGTAAATAAGGATTTTTCTGATAGGAAGACCTAGAATATCTTAAATAGGGATTTTAATATATATTTTATGACTAGAAAACTTCTTCTTGATATTTTTTATATAGAATTACAAGTTACTCCTTTGTTGAGCTTTTACATATTTAATAAGATATTTATTGAGAAATTTAAGTAAGCTTGAATCTGTCATATGCTTGTTTAAAAATTATATATGATGTAGAATTGATCGAAAAATTAGGAACATATTATCTGCATAAATTATTAGTTATCTGGCACTTGTGTCATATCATCATTATAATTCTTAATTTGCGTATCATTCTGTAAAAGTTCGCGAAGAAAATCCACATACACACCACATCATCTAATAATAAGAAACATTCAGTATCAATACTCAGAAATGTCAAACTGAATCCACACTGCCTGCCTGCCGTTTGCATTCAGTATCATCGCTCCGAAAATTGACTTATTGAAACATATGTTTGGCGAAATCGCAAACATTAGAATCACTTCTTGCTACACAATGCCATGTTCAGCTTCAATGGCAGCAAGGCAATAAAAACATCTCAGACAACATTGTCTTTGTCGTTGTTGTCATCCGCATCAGCAGCAGCAGCCTCATCATCGTCGTCATCATCACAGGATTTCGTGAGGATAAAAATCAAACAGCCATAAACAAAACTTTGTTCATTTATACTTTTAATGCCAGCCTCACCCACTCCGTCGCATTTGGCATTATTCTCCAACGAGTCGTGAAAGGTTAGATGGAGCGGGGGTATTTGGCATGAATTTTACCACAGCCAATAAAGCTTAATGCTAATTTCTTGTGAAACATTCATAATTGTTACGATTATTGGCCCCTATTGGTTCGGTATTAGAGTCATAACATTGACGAGGGGAAATGTGAGAATCATCAACTTTGGCAATAACATGTGGAGTAGCTGGAATCGAAGAGGTGATAAGATGAAATATTGTTTAGAAAGCGGGGAGGGGAATAAAATCAAAATAATTATTATATTTGAATGATTTTAAATGTCAACCATGTCACACACATCTAATGAATCCTATTTTTATTCTTATCTTTCTTTATTTTCAGCCCTTCCACATGTACCAATGGACACACACCGAGGCTCCAACAACATCCCAACCACATACTCCCGGAAAACTGGATAAGGTCAATGTGTGGCCCTACTGCAGCACACCGGCTGGCATTACTCGTGTGCCGAAGAGCATTCAAGTGGACTCGCCGCAACCCGAAAGAGAAACAGGATTTCAACAGCTCTTGAGAAAGAGACTTTTGAGCTGTTCAACAATTGCCGAGGTGCATGCGGTCGTAAATGATCTCTTGGCTGCGGGTGAACCGCTACGAAAACCCTCTAAACGATGCATTCAATTAACGGAACTTTTAAACGCCAGTGAAACAACGGTATATCAATACGACAAAAATGTCAGCGAAGGTAGTTCGGGCATTGAAATGGGTAGCTTACAGGATGTCGGTGTTCAAACCGAAGAATTAGAACAACATCCGGTTCACTTGTTATGTAGCAAATGTAGAAAAGATGCAGCTGAAGATATGTTAACCTGCGAAAAAGAAACTCAAGTTTCGCTCCCACAATCCGGAGATACTGAAAAGGCCAGTACAAAAACTGAGTCTGGTCCTGTATCTACTCCGCCGCCTCCACCCCCGCCACCACCACCACTCATGTCACCAGCAACACCAACACCACCTCCTCCACCACCACCGCCACCAGGATCATCCCTACCACCCCCTCCTCCTCCACCTCTTCCACTTAGCGGCTCTGGTCTGCCTCCTCCACCGCCACCACCAGCTCCTCCCTGCCTTAATTCAACAATTCCCAGCTCTAACAATCACAATACATCGGCCGGTGGTACTCCCCCACCACCTCCGCCAGGTCCACCCAAAACTCCATCCACACCTGCTCCATTGCCCAACCCGACCGAGGGAGGCTGGTTCAATCAAGCCAACAGTAAGTATATCACCCCAAAGATCCCTATCTAAACTAACTATCAGTAATTCCTCCAACTGCCCATCATTTAGCGCTACGAAAGACTGCCGTTAATCCACCCAAACCTATGAAACCTCTCTACTGGACGCGTATTGTAACCCAACCGCCACCACCCAAACCAGCCCAGCCATTTGCTAGTTCCGCCTCCGATGAGACAGACTCAAGTCCCTCCAGTTCTCCTGATGATCCACCGTCTGCCGCCAAGGCCCAAGCCACCAAAGAGATCTGGCAAGAAATCGACGAAACAAGCCTGGACAATATTGACGAATTCACCGAACTATTTTCACGCGAAGCTGTTGTGCCCGTCAGCAGGCCAAAAGTGAAAACCGAAGTCCGGGTGAGGCACACAAAAGTGTTGGACAGCAAGAGATCTCAAAATGTGGGCATCATATCTCGAAGTTCCCATGTGGACTTTTGCGAGATCGAACATGCCATCTACCATGTTGACACCTCGGTTGTGAGTCTAGAAACACTGCAGCAGATAATCAACATCAAGGCTACCAATGAGGAGTTGGAACTGATAAAGGAGGCAGCTCAAAGTGATATCCCCCTGGACTATCCCGAACAATTCCTATTGAAAATCTCACAAATATCCATGTCCACGGAACGCATATCCTGTATTGTGTTTATGGCCGAGTTTGAGGAGTGCGCCACAGTGATCGAACGGAAGCTGGAAGTTGTTCTGCATTTATCGCAATTCCTGATGGAGAGTGAGGAGCTGAAGCTGTTGTTCGCCATCATCCTAACCCTGGGCAATTACATGAATGGTGGCAATCGCCAAAGAGGTCAAGCCGATGGTTTCACGCTGGAGATTTTGGGCAAACTCAAGGATGTCAAATCAAAAGAATCGCATACCACGCTACTGCATTTCATTGTGCGGACCTACATCAGTCGCAAGCGAAAAGAAGGTGTACAGCTACTGGAAATTCCATTGCCCATACCGGAACCGTCCGATGTGGAGAGAGCTAGTCAGGTGGACTTTGATGAGGTCAAGAGGCAAATTTCAGAATTGAATCGACAACTTAAATGTAAGTACAAATTTGGATATTCAATTTTGGAAGAGGGATTGTAATTTGTGTTCTTTCAATAGCGACCAAAGCCATTACCGAAAAGGTCATCTCAAATTCTACTCCACAAAATATGGAACCATTCAAATCAAAAATGGAAGAATTCATTGAACACGCATCGAAGGTCGTTGACAAGCTGTATAAGGAACTCGACGATTGCAGGGATATGTTCCTGGAAACCATGAAATTCTATCACTATTCACCCAAAACTGGCACAATCGAATCGTGTACGCCCAAAACATTTTTCGAAAACTGGACCAATTTTACAAATGATTTTAAGGATATCATGAAGAAGGAAATTGCCGTATTATGGAATGAATTGTAAGTGGTGGGAAAAAATAATGGGGCATACTGGGATTAGGATAAGTTGAATAGTTTTAAGGTATTGGAATGAGGACCACCGAAGAAAACAGCGAAGCCTGAATTATTGCCAATAGAGCGAAGTGACAATTTTCTTTGGAATGAATATAGAGCCGAGATAAGACTAGTCGATACCGAGCCCACAATAAATCGTAAGCGCCACACTGGTGTTTACAATTTCAGAGAGGGTATTTATTATTTTATTCGGCCAAAAATAACGGTCTTAGACCTTAGGTCTCTTTAAACCAAATCCATTTCGGGTCTGTCTGTCTGATTGGTGTGCACGATAACTCTCTCCAATTTCGTCCAAACTTAGTACATCCCAATATTTGACAGGGTGACATAAAAAAAACTGCAACAAAGTCAAACGCCATAATTTTTACACTTTTTTTAAATTTTATTGAATGAAAGCAAAAAATGTCGGAAACAGCATCAAATTTTAGAATAATGGCCTTCGAATTATGGCCTTCAAACGGCCAATGAAAACGTCACACGCTGCCGGAATGTTGCTCTGCGGTATTTTGCCCCATTTCCGGCGAAGCGCTTGCTTGAGGTGATGTACACATTGATATTTTTTAGTGCCAACCTTGCCTTCCAAAATATTCCAGACACAATAGTCTAACGGGTTGGTGGCCATTGTGCGCTGGAAATGAAGCGAGGAACCTCAATTTGTAACAATTCTTGGGTGGCGCGTGCTGAGTGCGATGGTGCTGAGTCCTGTTGGAATGTCCAAGGTCTGCGTGCCCTTGTACACCCTCCAGAATATTTTTGCGATAATATTCAGCATTTATCCTGATGCCACGGGCGATTAATACGAGCGGAGAGCGACCATCGGCAGTTATGGTGGCCCATACCATCACCATGGCCGGTGCTTGAGTTCTGGTGGCCAACCGAAGGTGCACCTCTTTGGCAAGTAAACACAATCGTTCTGTTTGTTTACAAACTGCTAAACAACGAATGCTTTCTCATAAGATACAACCAAATTCACCACTTTCGACCAAGCGAAGCAACTCTTTAGCTCTTTAGATTTATCCACATTTAAATGCTGGAGTTCTCTAACGATATCCACTTGTGGTTTTCCAGCCAAATATAATGAAGTCACACTATCACGCTTGAATTTCATCACGAATAACTTTTTTTCTGAAAAATTCTCACCAAAATGCTTTTGTACGCTTGTAAACAATATAATGAGCTGTCACTAGAATAATTTTAACAGCTGTGGCTTAGAAATTACAGCAGTCTGAAGTAGGTTGCAGTTTTTTCATATCATCCTGTATATCTCTTGGTTTAAAAGTGTGATGATTCTTAATTTAAGTTTTAGAAGATTGCCGTTTTACTTTATATACGATACATATATACGAGGTTTAACTTCGCTATACATTCCTTTATCAATAACTTCCTTTATCAGTATATTTCTCTGTAAAACACATGGTACAATCAAACTGCAGAAATGCAGCCCTGAGGCTATGCCCGCTTCCTGTCAGAATTATTCAAAATTATAGGCAACAAGTTGTTTTAATTTATTTGATATTTTTTGTTAATTTCTAAAATGAGTCAAATAACGCGAAAGATGAATGAAATGCCTGGATGTTCTCTCAAAAATATGATCCTAAGTGTTTAATCTTTCAATTCCATTCTAAATCTCGTTAATATTATTAATGCGAGTCCCGCAATTTAAGTTTCTTCCAATCATTGATTTTGAAAATATTTTGTTTTTATTTTTCAAAACAACAAATACATACACAAAATTGGCAGAAGTCGGGCACACTTAGACAAAAATTGTAATCAGCTGGGAGCTCTACCTTACCTTTTTATTGTACCATGGTAAAACAGAAACTTCAAACAGCCACAAAACAGCTGATAATACTGTGTAATTCATACTAAAACTTAGATTTTTGGGTTATTTAATTTGTTAACAAATAATTACAAATTATTGGGTTATCGTACACACCTACTGTTTTATTTAATCTCCTCTGATAATTTCATTTCAGATTGAAAAAATCCAAGGATGTTCAATCGCGCAAAACTGTCAAAACTACAAAAGTGAAACCTGGAGGCCTCAAGGAACGTATTTTACGTCTGAACAAAAAGTAAAAAAAGCTGTTGATGTTATTGCCCTACAAAAATCGCCCACATGCCGATATTACTAAAATTATTATTACTATTATTAATAAATTTTATCAATTAGATCTACACCTAGCAAGTAGTTAACGAACAACCTAATTTTAATAATTAATTGCCTTACAATCAAAATGAAGTGAACGGAAATGCACACTTTTTTTGCAGTACCGAGTACTGACTACTGAACTGCGTTATTATTGTTTAAGTTTTTATCTCTATTTTGTCTAAATTACAAATTCTACTCGCTCGCAAATAAGTTTATAAAAATATTTAGATAGAAATTATAATTCCTGGTCGATCAGATTATTTATAAATTTCACAGTGTACAGTGATTGCAGGGAGATGTTTGCACAAATATGTATTGGCTAGTAATCCTGGTTACTTACAGTCTGCAGGTGAATGGGTGGGACGGGACTTTGCCACAAAATGAAATGTTGTTGATATTGAATTAAATGTTACTTTTTTTGATTTGATATAAAAATATGTCTGTTTGTGTATGCATGTACGTTGTGTTTAGCATTGTACTCATATATAACGTAGAAAAGAAGCAAATCATGCTCAGAATGGGCTCATATCCTCCCTTAAATGGGATTAAACATAAATATGTTTCGGAAAGAAAGGGTTGTTAATTTATCAAAAACAAAAGATAAACAAATTAAATAATATGCATTCTTACATACATACATATATGATAAGAGATCACTTTTGTATTCCTATTTGCTTTCAAAACTTTAATAAATTTTTAAGCTTACAAATTTTGGTGTACTTCTACTATTTAATTTGCAATGTGGTTCAGGTAAGGTGGTTTGCAGTTCGACCCTGTATAACTTAATTCCTAAGGTTTGACAAAAACATTGCTAAACATACCTCATTTCTGTACAGAGGTTTGTAGTGGGTAACGAATAATGTAACTAAAACAATTCCACAATAACTATTGCTCCGTTCCAGAACCTGCAAGGATATACTATTTTTGCAATTTTGAACAGAGCATTTATTTAAATAAAAGTCCTCTTCCCAAGATGTGAAACCTACAATTATTTTTTTTTCGTACCAAGGTACGCCGAAAATTATAAATTATTTATGTGTTTACTTCTGTTTCGAGACGGGCTTAATGATTTGAAATTTGCAGTGGAAAATTATTATTTTTGTAAAATATGCCACTCTTTATACGTAAATATTTGAGATATTAAATTAATTTTTATACCCTACACCACATTGTGGTGGGGTATTATGTCTTTGTGCATTTGTTTGTAACATGGTTACTTTTGAGAATATTCATAGAATCACTTTCTGAGTCGATTTATGCATGTCAGTCCGTCCGTCTGTCTATGTATTTTTCTGAACAAAATGCACGTCGCATTTATTATCCGATTGAGATGAAATTTTACAAACAATATTTGTTTGGCCCAAGGAGGAACCCCACTGGTGAGAATTGGTTCAAATTTAAATATCAGGTTTATTGTGCACCAAATGACCAATATCAGTCCAAATGACCTGCATGCACATCCGACCGAATTCACTCTAGAAGTAAGTATATCAAACTTGTTCAGTAAAAAAATTGGTTCAGATGTAGCTACAGCTCCCATATATGTGTTTCATCCGATTCGGGGTTTTTAGTCCCTCACATGCGTAATATGCACTCCACAACAGTGGTATTTGATACCAGATATCACATTTAGCTCAGAAATAAGTGCCCAAATTTTCAAGATCGGTTTAAATTTGGATATAGCTCCAATAAATATCTTTATCCGATTTCAGTTTTTTTGTGCATAATATCAGCCCAATTAGACTGAATCTGGGCAATTCCGACTGAATTCATCCTAGAAATAAATGCTTCAAATTTGGTAAAAATCGGGCTAGATATAGCTATAGCTCCCATATATATGTTTCTTCCGATTTGGCGCTAAAGTCCCACAATGATCTTTGATACCGGAAATCAGATGCAGCTCGAAAACACTTCTGCCAAATTTTATCGAGATCGGTTCAGATTTTTATATACCTTCGATGCACATTTTCATCCGATCTTGCGGTTTTTGTCCACCATATATGTAATATCAGCCCAAATTTGATAGATTTTTTCATATTCAACCTAATTTTTCCATTTGGTGAAACTCGGTCCGGTATGTCTACTCTATCTCAACATAGTGGCGTAGGGTATTATATAGTCGTCCCCGCCCGATTTTGACCTTTCCTTATAGGTTATTCTTATATTATTTTTTGAAAATGTTTGCAATATTCGTTTACAACTAGATTCGTTTACAAACAAAGATATGTCACAAGTAAACTTGCCTTTATAAATTATTTAATTATTGGTCTGTTCCAGAACATGCAAGAATTTACTAGTTTTGTACATTTTTTCGATATCATAAAGGGAAAATCTGTTATCATAGTAAAAAGTTGTAAATTCTAGCAGATCTGTAACTGTTCTTATATAAATTTAGACTAAATGAGTCTACCTCTAGCGCTATAACCATTTAAAAGTTTAATTCTCTCTCAGAAATAATGTCATTGTCATAATAAACACAAATTATAAACACATAAAATCAATTAAACTTAATTTTCAAGATCAAAACTGTCAGATATCAATGTCGTAGAGTGCTGATGCCATTATAGCAACAATGTGCGATGAAAATAACTGACAGAGCTATTTTCACCCATATTATCGTTACAAGTTTATCGAGGGCAATGCAATACAGTAATCGATAATAACATCCACTATCTGCCATCTCTAGGTACAACACACCACATTGGAAGCAGTAGTCGCCTGCTAAAAAATATTTCATTTTCATATAAATGAATTTAAAAATACAAGAATCATTAAAATATTTGAAAGCACCAGAAAATATCTAAATTCCTGAACACACTAACGTCTGAAACAAAGGTTAGTAGATGGCGACGAGTGTGATTCGCATCAATTCATGAGAACTTCAATAATCGTGTCATTTATTGTAGGATGTCTCGAGTTACACGCCAAAAACATGTTCTTAAGGAGATGATGGAGGACGACTATGAGTTGCCCAAAGAGAATCAACAAATCGTACGTGTTGTCTGCAGTCGCGGCAATAATCTGCATGAGGTGGAAACCGCCAATGTAGATGATGAACGTTTCCTAGGTAAGTGGACATGAAACTGCTGATCTGTGTGTTATGGAATTTTGATATTATTAAGCGTTCTTCTATAGTAACAATGCCCAATAAATTTCGCAAGAATGTCTGGGTGAAACGAGGCGATTTTATTTTGGTAGAACCCATTGAGGAAGGCGACAAAGTAAAAGGTGAAATATGCAAAATACTTACCCCTGAACACATTAAGGAGTATAAGAAGGCAGGAGTGTGGCCAGAAAGATTTGCCATGAAGTCTAATAAGGAGAATTACCAAACCAATGCTGCAAAAGAATCCTCTGAGGATGAAGAAGAGGATGGCGACGATGACATTGAGCCAAATATGAATCGACCTGCAGCAAGAATAATTGAAGATTCTGATGACAGTGACGATGATGAGGAAGATAGCTCAGAAAATTCAGAAGAAGAATAATCCCAAAATTTTATGTTGCAACCCACATGAAAGAGCAAGCGAAAAGAGTGATATAAAACAATGTTTTGGGTTGCAAATTTCAAAAATATTTTGGGGATGAGAATATGCCTCAACTCCAGCGCTTTAGTAATTGCCTAGCGTTTATACTTTAAGATACAACACAAATGTTTGTATTTTCTTAAATCTTTTTTGTCACATCACTCATCATCTTTTTGAAAATTCGTCCGTGGAATTATATTTAATCAGTTTTATAAACTGGCATATGAAGTTAAAAATAAATTTTATATAATCCTAAATCTAATTCCTAAATTTTATTTTATTCATTCATTTGAGTATACCCATATTTCATATTCTAATCTGATTCTCGAACAGCAACCCAATTATTAAGATAATTAATATCTGCGAAGTTTCGGAAAAGTCCCAATTTAAAAAGCAAAAGCTCTGTGCATGAATTTTCATCTCTAGCAACTTTTTACTCGAGACGTGTTGCTATGTACAAAGTAGCAACATAATTCAAAGGGGAACCATGTTTACATTTTGGTATTTTTCAAACTATTGTAGAAACCATATGGATATATGACTATCTCGAAGACACCGTATACCAGGTACTGCATTCTATTCTGACGTTAGGCAACATTAATTCATTCCACATTGAAAATGGTACAGTTCCAAGCCACTCGCCCGATAGCTGTTAAAATTATTCCAGTGACAGGTAATTATATTGTTTACAAGCATACAAAAGCATTTTGGTGAGAATTTTCCAGAAAAAAGTTATTCGTGATCGAATTCAAGCGTGATAGTGTGATTTCCTTATATTTGGCTAGAAAACCACAAGCGGCTATCGTTAGAACACTCCAGCATTTAAATGTGAATAAATTCTTTGTGTCTCGTACGAGCGATTGGCAGTTAGACTTCCATTGGCAGTTAGACTTCCATAACTCCTGCCAAAGGTGACCAATTCGAGCAAATCTAAACTTATTCTAAAAAAAATACATTTAAAAAAATGTAAAAATTATGGCGTTTGACTTTGTTGCAGTTTTATTATCTCACCCTGTGGTTTTTAATACTTTATCGATATTCATGGAACATTTACTTTTGTTACTCTTACCTATTTCAAGACCACCACAACTGACTGTGGGAATAATTGATTACCTTTATTTCCCTCACATTTACCTTTAAGTGCCAAAAATTATGGAACAAACGATATAACCATTATAGAATGAAGAAGTTAAAGTCATTCCAAATAAGTTTTTCAACCTCTGCATTTATGACCAACATCTAGAGCTGTGTAAATTCGTTGTAAAAAAAACGCCCAAGTGTCATTCCCTCTTACGTAGTGCTAAATTTCCAGGAATAATAAGGAAACAAATGTCTTAGGGAAAACCGATAAAAGTATGGCATATGAAACTCCTACTTTCTAATACAACTTACTTTGCTTTTCCATAAACTCTTCCAGCCAGATTACGGAAATGCTTATATTTCCACAATTCCCCCTCTCTATGTTTATCAATGACTACACCTCACTGTTTTTTTATTAAAGCTGCATCAATTTTATTTTTCACTGGAATTTGCAAATTTTCAAAATTAAAAATGTGTAATTTTGTGTGTATATTTTGTTGGGTTTTAAATATATATGTATATCTTACAATCTAGATAGAGATTTAATAAAAAATAAATATATTCGATTGATATACATAATTCTAAAATAAAACTGGAATGATTGGACAAATTCAAAATTAGACATATCTTGATT